CTGCTGCTGGAAAAGGGTGCTGACAAAGATGCAGCTAAGCAGGATGGCACAACGGCCTTCCATCGAGCAGCTGAAAATGCCCGCTTGGAAGTTGCACAATTTTTGCTTCAACGTGGCGTGGCGAAAGATGCAACCACACAAGATGGCTCAACAGCTTTGTATATGGCAGCCCGCCGTGGCCACTTAGAAGTGGTACAATTGCTGCTGGAGAATGGTGCTGACAAAGAAGCTGCAAATCAAGATGGGAGAACACCATTGCACAGCGCTTCTAACAGTGGCCGCTCAAAAGTTGTCCGATTGCTGCTGGAGAGCGGCGCTGACAAAGCTGCCGTGGACCGATATGGCACAACAGCACTGCACTATGCAGCCAGCAATGGCCACTGGAAAGTGGTGCAACTGCTGCTGGAAAACGGTGTTGACAAAGATGCAGCCAATTGTGACGGCACGACGGCCTTGCATTCGGCAGCTATGAATGGCCACCTGAAAGCGGTGCAGCTGTTGCTGGAGAACGGTGCTGAGAAAGACGCAGCTAACCAGGATGGAACAACTGCATTGCATTGGGCAGCTAAGCATGGCCATGCCGAAGTGGTGCAAATGCTGCTGCAGAGTGGCGCGGCAAAGGATGCAGCAACACATGATGGCACTACTGCCTTCCATTGGGCAGCTACCAATGCCTGCCCGGAAGTTGCACAATTTCTGCTGGAGAATGGTGCTGAAATAGATGCTGCCACTCAAGAAGGCTCAACGGCTTTGCATTTTGCTGCCCGCCATGGCCATATGGCAGTTGTGAGATTCCTGTTGGAGAGAGGTGCCAACACAGATGTGGCAAATCTGCAGGGCGCAACAGCCTTGCAAAAGGCAGCCCAGTATGGCCACTGGAATGTTGTGGAACTGCTGCTGGAGAGTGCTGAGGAAGATGCGTGAGATGATGCGTGAGTCATTCGGACACAAGTCAACTATAGTGACTATAGCTGCTACGCTGCGCTGTTCCTGAAAGGTGGTGCTGACGGTGCCAGCAGTGGTAGAACAGAACAGCGCTTTGCCATTGAATGCTCAAGCTGGAAATGGACTTGGTGCGATTCTTGCGGAGAAGGGACGGCCATTGGCGCAGATGTCACTGTTGTAAAATGCTTGGAAAGCGCAATGTTTGTGAGCATACACTGATATTCTGGTCTTTAGGATTCGGCCCCCCTTTAAGATCCAAAGTCGGATGGCAGATGGACGCACACCTCAGGCAGGATGCATTGGTGGTGCGGAGGCAAGCGGCTGGAGCTCCTGAGGCAAGTGTTTTGAGTTGTTTCGGTTTGGCATGAGCTTCGGTTGGGCATGTCTTCATGCGAATCATGGGTTCCGTCATTTTTTGGTGGACATGTGGGTTGGAGAGGAGGCTTCAAAGCTTTTTGCACTCACAAACGGGGGCTTGGAGATGTGAACTTGGCTGATGTCCTACCAAGTATAACAATGTATATATACAAACTCCTGGGACACAAAAGCACAATCTTGAATTGAAAACAAGTCAATGGTGAGAACATTTAATGGTGTCCCATTGTCAATGGTGAGTCGTGGAATGTTTGTCCTGGAGAGTGGAGTGCCCTAGGTGCTCTTCAGAACTAGCTCCGTGGTGCTGAGGGCAGGAGGTCAAGAAAAGTGTGCAAGCTTTCCGAGACATTGTTAGAATGTTTCAGGCCCTTTGCATTTCAGGCGTATTTTGCACGCACCTGTCTTTTATCAGCTAACTTGACAGAGCTGTCACTGTGATGCCCCTTGCTCTTACCATGCAGACGAAGTCACCGCTTGGAGGTCTAAAATGCAGGAAGACCCTTGGGCAAGACTTCCATTCCCCTCGTGCTTGTCCCAGCAACGGGTCAGCCATCTCCGCCAGTGCTTCTTGCGTTTCATGCTGCCAAGGCCTGTCAGCTCCAAAGGTAGTCAAACAGTACACAGCACATCTCAAGAACTTATCAGATCCGCCATTCTTCGGCAGATTTGTTTGTCAGCCCTTTTCCCGAGCACCTCCGTGACGCAATGGCAATGTTGGGTTTGGTTGTGCTGGCACTAGCGTGCCAAGTGAGACTGAGCGCACTTAAGTCACGGGCCCCTTAGCAGCTAGCCAGCCTAGCCAGTTGGAATCCCATCGAATCTACTAAAGGAAAAAAGATGTGAACTGCGCGATTTCAGGAAGAGCACAGGCAGCGAGCGACATTCAATTTTGGCAGGTGGGAGTTTGTTGCAATAGAAAGGAGGGACCCACCTGGCAATTGCCGAAGTTGCGCTGAGGACTCTCAGCTACCCTCAGAATTGTTCGACCAACGGCAACTGCGTCTCCAGGAGAAAGACTTGAGAGCTCGAGGTTTGACATGATTCATTGTTACATCACATGCCCTTCCAGAGTATTTTGTGCTGTCTCAAGCCGTTTGAACCAGATCGGCGTTTTATTTTATAGTCGTTGTTTTCCACCAGGATTTGGAGCTGCCAACAGCAGCGGAGTTGCACGCAGGCCGACAACTTTCTTCTCGAGCTGGATTTTCACTACAGCAACATGGCAAAATTGCAAGTTCGCCGCGATTCATCCAGGTTTTTTGATGCAGGGCTGGGTTTTGGGGAGATTGGACCGGATTCAAGACCAAAACCCTTCCAACCATCTTCCAGCCTTCCACCCTTCCACCTTTCCTTGGCATTTAGTGGCCCGTTGGCCTCCTGCATGAAGCTTTGGCGGCGCGCGATTCGGCTCAGGAGAGAAGGGATGCCGTGAGGTCATTCCACTGCTGCTGGAAGGCAAGAGTCATTCCAAAAAGGATCAAAAAGGGTGCGACAAATGGATCGCTTTGACCTCAAAAAAAGTTTTGTAGGCCATTTCAACCTAACCCACTTCAATCATTCTCTCAATAGCCACAAAGGCCATTGGGTTAAGCCAAACAGGGCTACATCCCCCGCGACAAGCTGTTTTTAGAAAACACAAATTGTGCATCGAATGCAATGACATATGTACGTAGCCATAAATGGGCCGATTTACGTGTGCAATCCTCACCCCTTTGTATAGGTACAAGTTTGAGGGCAGAGGTTGAGAAACAACATAGCTTGCACATTCGGGTGCCCCCTACATGTATGTTGACCACGCTTGTGCGCTTAGGGGGCAAGATTTACACAGCTTGATGGTCGACCCATGTCCATGCACCCCCCAAGAGTATCGTTTGGATGTTTCTTGGAAATTCCTCCAGAATGCCGTGCGATATTCTAGAACATTCGATCCCCATATTCTTGGGATGGGTGGAGTCCAGTTTGGGCAGGGGAGGGGTATAAGCTGGAACCTGACAGGTAGAAAGTTACATGTCCTTTCTCCTGCCTGGTTGAGATTTCTGTTGTGTCTTCGGTGTTTGTGCCATCTACTCAGGGCACTGAGCTGTTGTGGAAGTTGTAGGGGCTCTGCCAGGTTCCTCAGCCTCTCCTCCCATGTTTTCAAGGTTTCGGGGGGGCCTAACCAGCAGCGCCTTACATGTTCTTTCGTTTGGGGAGCCACCCACCGGACGTTTGCAACTTGTGTCACATAAGTAATATATGTCTACAAGGGAAGGGCACTGCATAGTGACGGAATGAAAATGCAGCTCCCCGTTGGTGGCTGTGGTGGCGCTTCCTTCCACCCTATGTTCATATTTCCCTTGGCCTTGTAGTACCCGCATGCGCCTACATTTCCCTGGCCCTCAAGAGGGCCGACAAATTGCCCGAGCCTCCCCGGGTTCATTTTACCTGATGCAGCTACGTGCAACCTTTAAGTCAGATTGAACCTGATTGAACCATGGTTAACCAGCAGCATTCAGCCAATGCCAAAGAGATACTGTAGCCAATGTTGTTATAGTACCGTATATATTATGTTTACATCAAACTGTGCAAATAAAGACGCAAGCCAACATGTTTCTTCAAGGTCAGATACTGGGATGTAAGCTTACATGTTTGGGGTAAGATATCCGTGCTCACGGTAGCTTGCATTTTTCTAGGAATCATAGATTTGGCTTTTGTCATTGTCACAGTAAGGAATCTCTTTTCCTGCTACCTTCACTTTTGCCAGTCAGACTTGTTCTAGTGGAGGTGGCAAAGTAGTGGCACAATGTCTCGATGTCTCGACGTCCTTCTAAGCATCTGAGGAGCAAAAGCGTCGTGCAGGTCGATATTGATGCACGGTGCATTGGCTGCATGACCCTGATTTCTGGTTCTATGACAAGTCACAGGATGTCACAGGAGTGGATCTTGAATACTCCAGTATACTCCAGTATATAGATGTGCAAAAAGTCTAAGCAGCAGGGTGAGACCGATCGCTCAAAGCAGGGAGCCTTCCCCATGTGAAGGCCGCATTGCTGAAGCTTGAAGTGGCTTTGTGGCATTCACTCAGGTGCGAAAAACCATCCAACTTCAATGACTTCTTCTTTGGCCGCAGGCTCAATTGTCGGAACATGCTCAGGCACCTCGGCCGATGGATGTGGGCAGCGCACAGGTGCCAAGATCCTGAAACACCATAGCATGGCCCTGTGATAAGGAGGGGCCCACCTCCACGGGTGGTGCCTGCTATGGCTTGCCCCTCCGCGCAGAATGTGTCCGACCTTGTGGTGGAGATGCTTGGCTCAAACTTCTGCTAACTTTTCGTTTGCACTGAAGCTCCAAGAATAGGGAATTTGCATCATGACCGCATCGAATGAAATCATAGGGCTCGTAAGAACGGTAGGTTCGTGCTGGGGCGGAGTTGTGCGTGCACAAAGAATGACTCAAATGTTCGACACATCCGTTAGCGTCAAGTGGAATGAAATTGCTGCTTTGGGTCCGGCCACACGAGTTGGATGACACTGGTGACCATCTGTGAAAAATCCTTCAAATCGGTGGGTGGGTTTTAGTTGTCAGACATCAAACGTTGGATTGCGTGCTCCCTCCTTTAAAGCATCAATTCCGTGAGCTTCAGGAAGTGCAGCTGGCATTGCAAGCATAAGAGGCCGGTGTCGCGGTGCTTCATCTCCTTTGATCCGCGCAACGCGCTTGGCGTACAGCAGCTTGCTCGCCAGACCATGGAGATCCACAGTTGGTACATGATTGCGACGTCCATGTGAAATACAAATGGATGAACCAAGGCAGAAGCTAGACAAATGCTGGATCCAAGAAGCTTGGATGACTTGGGTGGGCGTCATGCTGCTGACAGAAGCCAATGGCCATCAAGTGGCCACATTCCAGTGTCGATGTGATGAGATGCCGAAATGCGGGTGGTTGCAGAATCCAAAACGAATAGTCAGAAAACCAAGTCAGGTCTAGTGACGGATGAAATTTGTAGTTGCAGAGGGGATAGCCAAGGAGAAATGCATCAACAACCAGATGAAGGCGAAAACCACTTGCCAAACAGCTCCATCCTCTTCCACTCCTGCTGTCACTCCAGCTGCAAGAACTTGCGAGAACTGAACCAGTTGCAGAGGAACTGAACCATGCAGGAACTCGCAGGAACTGCATGGCAACCAAGGTCACATTGGCGGGATCAATGCTTGTCACCGTGACCGATCCGGTCACATTCCTGGCCCAGCCCAATTTGCAGTTCGCATTGCAGGATGCCATCGAACGAATGGCGTCTCAGATGCCCTTGGTTCATCTGAAACGGCATGCCGCTTCGTGGCCAAACCGGTCATGTGTAGGTTGATGGTCAACTTGCACTCCAACACATGACCGATTCACAAGTGCTGATGTTTGTGCCCTGTGTGCAGACTCGTTCGTGCATGGCTTTGTGGTGTCCAATGCTTGGCCGTGAGCGAGGCGCCGGAGAGCGACTTCAGCGATGTGGCGATCGAAATTCCTTCCAGCAATAGCTTGGCAAACAAGACCAAGATGGTGAAGGCTGACCGGCCTAAGTTGAAGACTTGGAAGGGCCTTTCAAGAGTGGTTTCAAGGGTCCATGTTGGGGGGTGGGGGGTAAACCAACAATTCACAAGCTTACAATGGGGTCCGTCCTGTTGCCATTTGACTTCGCCTCGACTTCCTTAAGTGTCCAAACAGACCTGACTGCAGCCGCTTCAGGTTGGGTTCAATGCCTCCGTAAAGGGGAACGATGATGAGACCTCCGACGAGAAAGCCTTGGGGGCCGAAATGGCACTGCAGAATATCTCGCACGACGCCTTGGTGGATGCCGTGAATGGTGCGCTTTCATCGGAAGGCGCCGCCTTTGATGTCATTTGTTCGGCCTCAATGAGCCCGTAAACTTTACATCGGTCATTGTAGGGAATCAATGATCGTAGGGCAGCTCCTCTCAGCCTCCTCAGCGCCACACGATCAACGGTTTCTCAAAAGAAGGGTGTGTGTGGGGTCCACCTTTCTATATGGTTGTCTACATCACAACTTTGTTTGGGCAGAGGCTTTATTAGGAGGTGTTCCCAGAAAAAAGTCTCACGGCTGATAGGTTTGACCAACTTGGTGGAGGATGCAATGCTGCTCCTGGCACCCTTGAAGTTGAAGGGCCCAAGGTCTGAGGAGAGGATCCTGAAATCAGGGAGACCGGTCCAGGTTGAAAATGATTGAATAGAATCACAGCGTTTGCATCGGATAAGGCCATGCAGATCGCAAGTTGTGACCGTTTTTGTTGGCATGTTTGCTTGGAAGCTGCATGAAGGATTTTGAGAGTCTCGTGGCCATGATGCATCTTTACCAGAAGCATTTAGAGGAGGCACGCGCCCGGAGCATGTGAATTCCCGATGCTGTTTTGAGAAGTGCAGCAACCCCTCCCCTTGGAGCATTTCATCAGACCTGACAGGTGAGGCTGGAGCTGCAAGAAGTCCAAGAGGATTTGACCATCCAGATGCTCGGAAGAAGCAGGCGAAGCGGTCAGGTGCGACCTCCTGCGAGTTACTTGGCCAGTTTTCCCACGTTTGAAGTTTAATGAGGGCTTGCACGAGATAAAGCTGAGAACCTGGTCTCATTTTGGTTTAGGCCTCAGCCTCCTGTCCTCCCTGGTGAAAGTTTTTGTTTAGTCAGAAGAAGCTGGTGTGATTAGCTGTGGATGCCTATTTGATCTCCTTATGTGCTTGTTCTGCGAACTTCGGCGTTCAATTTGGAGCCCACCCAATGCGAAGAGAATGCCGAAGCCGAGGAATCTCTCACACAAGGACGCCGAAGCGCTTCGTGAAAAGCATCGCTCCACTCAGAAGCGATTGTGCCCACCTCAGATGTGGGGCAACCACCTTGGACATTTTATACAGAAAGGAGATGTTAATCAGAGGCGCAATCGGATTTTCCTCAGGTCCAGTATCATGGCCTCACAGGAAAAGATGTCTCAGTACATCGAGGATGCTGTCTCAAAGTTGCTCGGCGGAATTGCAGGAACTACCCATGCAAGGCGCAGTCACATCACACCTTCTTGTGTGCATTTTGCAGTATCACGCTCTCATGCGACTCCAGCAAGCCAGGGAGAACAAAAACAAAATCGGTTAAAATCATCATTATACACAGGTCTGGAGTCTGGAGTGTTCAAAGAAGTCCTTCTTGGTCGCCGCACTTTGTCAGAGGGTGATGCCCACCTCCTCCGATGTGTAGACAACAAAGTAAGGCCAAGTAGAGCATGTATACAGTAGTATCAGCCTTTTATAGAGGCTATAGTAACAGCCTTTGAGCTACATTGAAAAGGTTCAATAACCAAGGTTCAGGAAGGTAAAGACATCCTAGATTTTTGCGGCAGCCGTGCACGTTCGGCAACATCACACAGCGCTTGCAACCCAGTTCTGACTCCTCAGGATGTCCAACGAATCCTCACATCGGCCTCGGTCATCGGTCATGCAAGGCATCCAATTTTGCTGCCACTGCTGCTCTGGAACAGTTTTCAACAGGTTGGCAAATGCGGTTAAGCAAACAAGCATTAGCGGGCTATGTGACCAATTGCACTAGAAGGCTAAAGGAAACCGCATTTACATGTTGCCATCATGGTGTCATCAGGTTCCCTTTGTAGCCTCACCGCATGCGGTTTCACATTGCTTGATCGCCAACATGACGACCAACCATGCCGAAAACGTGGCAGCTGAAGGGGCTGAAGCAAAGGAGGAGGGTCCTGAGGCCCTTCCAAATGGAGAGGAAAGCCATGGCAAAGCCGAGGCAGCTCCCCAGAAAGAAGCAGAAGAGGGCCATACCATCAACATGGACATTGGGGATCTTCAGAATGATGCAGAAGTTCCAAGTTTGCCTCCCATTTCGCAGGCATCCCAAGATCCAGATCCGGTAGTAGAAACGGCACGTACAGATGCACCGGATACACCGATCTCCCCGGTGGACCACCCGGCCAAGCCGGGGCTACCGGCCTTGGTGCTGCGGAAGGGCGCGGGACGCCGCGCGCGCGACGACGCCCGGCGGCGCATCATCGCGGCCCGGGAAGACCTGGAGCGCCGAGTGGCGGAGGCCACGGAGGCACGGCTGAAGCGCCAGGCGGAGGCTGAGGCGGAGGCACGCGCCCGGGCGGAGCAAGCCCAGCAGAGGGCCCGGAGACGGTTGGCTGAGAAAAAGAAGAAGAAGGAAGAAGCTCAAGAAGCTGAGAAGCATCAAAGATCACAAAGTAGTGGTGCCGAATCCCACTCCCCAAGGGAGTTACCTGGGATCAAGCCGGCCAAGGCCCGGGTGAAGAAGAAGATTCAGAAACAACGAGAGGAGCAGGAACAGCGCCTACGGGAGATCGAGGAGGACCGTGAGCGGACCGTCTTGCGGAAGAAGACCCAGGAAGAAGCCGCAGAGGCGCATCGTCTCCAGGCTGCTCGACGGGCAGCAGAGCGTTGGCGCCGGGAGAGGGAAGCCATGGAAAAGGTGAAAGCTGAGAGGGAGGAAGAAGTACAACAGGAGAGGGGTGCTGCAAAGAGTGGGTGTTTGATCGTATTTGCGGGTGAGTTTTTAAAGACATACAATAAAATAACAATACAAGCAGTTCCGGGCAAGCCGGCGGCGGAAGTTTCCTATAAAAACAATTTGACCTATAGGAGTGTCCCTTCGAGCTAGAGCTGTTGAAAAACGCATTTTGTACGCGACTTCCTTCCAAAATGCATGTTGAAGCATTATTAACTGGAACTAGAGCTAACTAGAGCTAGAGCTGTTGAAAAAACATTTTGTACGAGACTTCCTTCCAAAATGCATGTTGAAGAGCTGACTGAAACTACAGCTAACTAAAGCTAGAGCTGACTGGAGTCAGAGCAAACTAAAGCTAGAGCTGACTGGAGTTAGAGCCGACTAAAGCTAGAGCTGACTGGAGCTAAAGCTGAGTAGTAGTAGTAGTAGTAGTAGTAGTAGTGGTAGTGGTAGTGGTAGTGGTAGTGGTAGTGGTAGTGGTAGTATGTAGTAGTATGTAGATGTAGATGTTGTAGTAGTAGTAGTAGCAGCAGCAGCAGTAGTAGTAGCTGTTCAAAGTCCGTAACACGGAAGTTTTGCACCCTAAACTTCCTTTGGTTATCATTTGACATATATAATAACTCAAACAACTCATATATCTATATATGTGTAATTATTATATAATATAAATGGATTAAGTTCTATTTGTAACGCCATTGAACCCTGCTGCCAGGCTCGGGAGCGCCAGAAGTGGTACAGAAACCCGAAACAGATCGCTAGGCTCATTTCAGAGGCACATGATTCTCAAGCCCAAGCGGAGGACCGCCTTTCGGTTGTGTGTGTGTTTTGTTTGCCTTTTCTTATTGAGTGGGTTGAAGTTGAGTCAGCAAGAAGATATGAGGTAGCTGTTTCATTTGTTTTTTTGCACGAATTGCCCCCTTATCGCATACCGCCATGTGCGGATCATGCAGCTCCCCCGAGAGCTCCAGGAGCGGAGAAGGGCCGCTCGTGAGGAAGAGTCCTACCTCCGTCACGAGCGCGAGCGCGCACGGCGGCATGTGGATGGTGAGTTGGAGGAACGACCTTTTGGGGCTCGACGGCCTGGGTCCAAGACCGAGATCTCTTTGGATGATGAGAACTTCCTGGCGAAAACCGTGCAGGCATTGACAGATGAAGATTGGAAGGTGAACATCAAGTTCAGCTGAGCTGTTTTGGAATTGACTTAGGTTGCCATGCTGTAGATAGCCGATAGCCTTTTTGCGACCAACCCATGGACGCCTTGCAAAAGTCCCGCTGCCGCCAGCAAGACACAGAATGACACGTGGGGTCACTGAAGATACGGAGGCGCTGCACAGCGTTTTGTGTTTAGAAAATCACGTGTTTTTCCATTTTTGTCCATTCCTCGCGGATGCTTCGATTTATTGTTATTGATGTTATTGATTGTTTGACTCTCCACCCAAAGGTTTTGGGTCTTGCAAGGTCAGTCATGGTCAGCCTGATTGTGCGGTTTTTTTTCCTAGGCGCAGTTCGCAGAACAAGGAATTCCAGCGTGCCTGGAATGCCTCAGAGGCAGCCGAATCTTGGTGAACACTGGAGTTGGTGGACTTTTGCAGGATCTGAGTGTCAATGAATGGGCATTAGGGGCAGTTCAATGCACATCCTGCCGCACAAAATCGTGCACATCCTTCACTATTCTCAGCATTCATAGGGACCTTTTTTCAACTGTGGTGCCTTGATGTGGCAAGTTGTTGTTCCTCACCTTTTGTTTGTTGGATTTCTATGGTCCCGTGATCAAAGAGTGACATTTGCACTATCAACATTGGCTGGAGTGAATGTGATTTTGGCCCTAGCCCAGCGACGATCTAAGAGTCATTGCATGGAATTACGGCCGTTTGCATGTGGTACTGATAACAAGCGCACCGCTACTAGTAACGAGTGCATTTCTACCAGTAGTGGCAAGAAGCTACTAGTAGCTAGTTGTTACTAGTAGTAATGCACTTGGTGACATAGTCGTTTGCGAGTTTTGCGTTTGTGAGAATGCCGACTGCCGACGGTGTGTTCAAGCATCATCCGAGGCTCAAGAACTGGCACATGCAAAGGCAAATTTGTCTTCCACCAAGGCATCCGGGAGATTGGAATCAGGATGGGCAAACTGCAGACCCTAGACGACCCTAGTCACTGGTCCTCTTCATGGCTATAGTAGAGTGCTCACTTCTTTGGCCCTGACTTGGCCAACAGTGCAGTGCTGCACCATTCCGACTGTGACCTCATGAGGCAGAGCTGGCGGCACTGCAAGCGAAACAGGTCAAAGCAGAGTGGCTTGGCAGTTCTGCGGGTTTTCCTACTCTCAGTTAGTCCGTCTTGGAGCACGGGATGTCTCATTTGACTAAACCTCCTACGTCCCTCTCTCCTATCGGTTTGATGGATTCGGACGGCACGGGTGAGGAAGGAAGCACTGCAAGCTTTGCGAAGGCAAAGTGCTATCACCCAAAGGCTGAAGGCGAAGCGGGAGGATGGAGCAGGACAAGAGGACAGCTTGCACCACAACTCTCCTCGGTGAGGGAGGTTGTTGTCCACTAGGACAAGAGGACAGCATGCAGTCAAGTAAAGCGGTAAGTTTGGGGATTCTTGGCGTGGACTCATTGCTGGCTAGTAGCGTCCTTGCTCCTAGTAGTACGGCCAGGAGCCCCTACTAGCGTCCTTGCTCCTAGTAGTACGGCCAGGAGCCCCTACTAGCGTCCTTGCTCCTAGTAGTAAGGTAGTAGCGTCCTTCCTTTGTTGGTGACGCATTCTTGGTGAATGTTGCTTGCTCCTTTCACAAGGCCAATGCTTCCAGACTCGCGCTTAATGCAGCCATCGCAGAGGAGGCCTTGCCAAAGCAAGGGGTGCAAGCCATCCTGTCGTTCCGATATCACCTGGACAACCGCTTTCCTGCTTGAAATGGCAGGAATTGGACCATCTTGAGGAGCAATTCCTGAGTGCCCAGGAGGTCTGAGAACTGAAGAAACTGGGTCAACCGGAGCTGATTTCTCAAAGTCGGCTTGTTGTCGGTAGCTTCATAGCTCCGAACCCTTTTCGTGGTGTTTTCTTTTCAATTTCACTGAGCTAGGGTTGGCCTTCAGTGCTAATGTGTATAGATGTGCATAGTGTATGCCTGTATATATATATATATATAGCGGTCGGTAACCGCCAGATTGGCAGGACCTGGAGGAAGCAGAAGAGGCCCGTGATGAGGAGAATCAATAAAGACACCCTTTGATATCCGTTTGTCAGAGAAACATGAGTACCGTGATGTAGACTCTTGATGAAAAACCCTCAATATATTTAGATTGTAAAGCCTCCTCACTTGGGAGGGTTTTGTCAAGAGTCTACATGAAATTACCTTGTTGCTTTGACATACTTTGACCTCACCGAGCTACATTCTGATCATTCTGGCTTGGTGGCCTCTCAGCAGGGAGTCAGAAAATCGTTGTGCCAGAATGATTCCAACTGAACTGGCAAAACGATATGTGTTATGTATATATAATCAACCGAAGGAGGAATAAGTGCGAGCAGGCCAGAATCAGAGCCCTGAACAATGACGATTGCTGACACGGATGGACATGTCAACGAGAACATTGATTTTTTCTTGGTGTGATGGCCCCCCGGCCCCCCCTAGAGTTGTGAACTGCGCAAGGAGATGAAGGACCACGGCGCGACGAAAAAACAATTGCGTTTGGAACCTCGCAGTGGCTTCAGCAATGTTTTTGTCTTTCAGATTGGACACTTTAATACTGTAACTTTGATAACTGTTGGGTCCGCTCCTCGTTTTGTGCCCTTTTCATGCAACGCCTTTATGGAAATCAACGCCACACAGTCCCATTGAGTCTCGGCACCGCAACAAAATTACATTGTTTTTCCTTTGAAAGGGTCGGAGAAGGGTTGACACGTCCAATGGTTCGACGCCTGACGCAGTGGTTTGGTCGTTTGACCCATGGTTTTCAGGTGCCCGCCGTTCGTTTCACAGCGGACCTGAGGCCCAAGAGCGGGCCTACATCACTGCATGGACGTTGGGTTTGTTCCTGGGGTGCATGGCCATTGTCATCGTGGGCCTGAGCACGGCGCTTTTTGTTCCTTGGCCATTATTGTGTATTATATTGGTTATATTGGTTATAAGTTATATTACGTTGCTATTGGGAAAAGGTCCTCCCAAACCTATCAGCTCTAATTCGATTGCTACGTATTCAACCAACGAGAACGAAGTTGTCTCAGCATCTTGTGACTCTTGTGTTTGTTTTAGTTGTTTGTCCCTTCGGGGCACGGACGGTCCTGCACCTCCATGGCATGTCCTTCCTTCGTTGGCTCGGGCGAGTTCGTTCGCTGTGGGCTCTCACGTGGGTCGATGGTGGCATTGACCATCATCGACCCATGGCGCCCTCCATGGTAGCGATGCCAGGAGCCCCTAGTAGCGTCCTTGGCTCAGGTTTGCATGAAAAGGAGGATGAAAGAGAGCGAGATCACACCGATCACTGACGCAGGCCCAGTGGTTACTGGTGCTGTAACATGCTGTAACACTTGCTGGTGGGTTCTAGGCAGCACTGAGCCTACCCTTGCTGGGATCGTATGCTTGTCGCCTCATGCCCTTGTCGCGAACGGTCGAGAACGTCCCACAGGCGGAAACTCCGTAGTGGTAGGACTGCAGGGTCTCACTGGTGGGCAGTGTTCCTCTTCCCTCGTGCCATTCAAGAATGGAGTACTTGCTAATGGACACACAGTGAAGTCACAAGAGCAAGCAGAGGAATTGCCAGCATTGTTTTCATGGGATTTGTCGTGGGTCACGTCTCGCCTTCCATTACAGGAATGTCAGCTTCGCTCCTGGTAGGTCGGAGGCCACTGCTAGTAGATCAGAGGCCATCGGTCACCCTTTGGCCGATCACTCGGTCACCGATGCTGCGCAGGACGGCCGGTGCATGTCGAGAATTACACTGGCGAGCCCCCCGTATCTTGACAGATCGCATTTGGATCAACGGATCAACGGATTGCAAAGAAAGGCAAAGGCCTAGAAGGGTTGAATTCACCTGGTCGACACAGCTCGAAAGTCTGCGAGTCGTGAGAAACCACCGTGGTGGTTGGGATTCCGAGCGCAGAGGTCAAGCCAGAGTTGCCGACCTTGCTCACCAGTTCCAGCTCATTAGCCCGATGCATGGAGCCGCTCGGACGGACGTCCGACGAGATGGGTAGCCTCCAAGTCCAGCAGGAGTCCTGAGTCCTGGTGGTTTGAAGTCCAGCGTGCGGTAGGCTGTAGTCTAGTTTGTTCGTGTTCAGGGGTACTTGGCCATTGACCCAGATCCACACTGGATTAGTTCAAGAAATCACCTTCAGGGTGTTTGCCGTCGAGTGCTACACTGAGGAGCCCAATGAAGAAGCCTAAGGAGGTAGCTGAAGGGTGAACCATGCTGGTTTTAATGTTTGCATCCTGTATAGCCAATTAACCTTGCCACAAGAGTTGGCTGCCGGCATCACAAGAGCTGGGCCGTGGAAATCTTCCTGCACCACATGGTTGTGGGCCAGACCTTTGGTGTGCCCATTTTTGCTGACTGACATCCAACATTCATCAAGGAAAGTGCCAAAAATGGGACCTGAGAGGTTCTTGGCCCATGCCGACATTATTTGGTGATTGGATGAGTGTGAAGGTCTTCGGATGTCTTCGGATTCTCTCTTAAAGGATCTTGAAGACCTTTTAGAATACCTGTCCGCAAGCAGTACAAGCGCCGCGCTCCAAAAGCGCCCGTCTGGATCCGATCAGCAAGAAGATCTCCGCTTGAGTGGAAGTTCATAAGTCGGGGTGTTTGAGAAGGTGCGAGCAAATGAAAACTCAGTGGTTGGAGCAGCTAGTGGCCCGTTCTCCTTCAGAGAATTCGAAGAGATGCTTGGCTCAAGAGGGGCTGAACGCTTCGGGCTCCAGCAGATCGGAGCATGTAGGTGGAGTGCAGCATGCGCATTGTGACAAATGGCAGCCACCTCAACTGAAAAACACAGCCGCCAACGTGCCAAAAACGACATGTTTTTCACTTTTGTTTGGGCGTTTATACTACATGCAAACGTAATACAATGGACCCTTTGAAGCCTGAACGTCAATGAAGATCTCTAGGAACGGACAATGGCCAGCTGCAAATAATGCACGGCAATGTATGGCAATGGGAAGTTCTTTGCAAGGCTTTGCAGCAGCTGCATTAACTTTACCTGGGCAGGGACATGTTCGAAGTTCCAGGATTTGCAGAGGCGCGCGCGTTTGATTATGCCTAGGGTTGACACTGAAAAGACCCCAATGAAATTTCTCATGATTTCTCCCAAGCTGAGGTGCTAGTGGTCCACGAGCGCTTGTGGCCACCAAAATCCCAACAGAAGTGCTGTTAGCAGCCAATCATGGCGTGGAATGGTGGGAAGAATCTGAAGAAGGTGATGCACACTGGCGATGTGTGCGGAAAGCGATGGATCAAAGCTTAGGCTCTCCACTCTTCTCTTTGGCCATTGATGAGGACACCAAGGCCGTGGCTGTCGGAGGCGGAGCAGGTCGTGCCACAAGCATCTTTGGGCCTCAAGGTGACTGGCTAACACAGCTGCAAGGGCACACTGGTTGGGTGCGCGATGTGCTGTTCTATGACAAACAACTCTTCAGCATTGGCTGCAACTTCATCAAGGTTTGGAGGCCCAAGGGGCCGAGCCCTGACGTTGGATGGGTGGGAGATGACGTTTCTGAAAGCATCCAAGCCACCGGAGATCGTTGGGTAGGAGGACATTTGGGAGTGTATTCTACTGGTAATAGGGAGACCCCAAACCAATGGCTTTAGGTCTAGTTTCCTTCTTCCAGGGGGTCTCCCTATTTTCATACACACCCATTTGATCTCTACGGATGTGCAATATCCAAGGACTGATGCGAAACTGCCCTACCAGCGCTGGGGAAGCTGTTTGCATGTGGGAGATCTCGAGGCCACTGAAATCGGAGGGTGTCGATTTGGACACATAGACCAGGTCAATGTCACTCATCGGATCCGACATGTTTAATTTGAGGTGGGCTTGGAGGGGTTTAGCTTTTTGTATTCATTCATTTAAGGTAGGCAGGGTCGGTGATGAAGAATTATTTGATGCAAGTCAATTCAATCACACTCCCTGAAAGTTGTGGCTCAAGCCAAAAGTGTGGGAGTGTCTCTCTCACAAGAAAATTACGCAGCGACTCGGAGGTCCTTTTCATTTTTCTTCCCACCCACCACACCCTGTGCTCCAGCTGAGCTGATGCAGGGAACTCTGTGGCAGCTGTCGGCCTGTGTTTCCACATTTGCGGTGCATCAGTGTGGCTTTTGTGCAGCTGTCGGCTTGGCAAAGTGCTCACGAATTCTGGAGTGCTGATACCACTCTGCGGTGGCAATGCGACTGCTATTGCCGGATGCTGCTTTATCTTTCGTTATCTTTAGTCTATACTCCAACCTAGTCGCTAGTCATAGGACCGACTTTCGGCTTCCTCTTGACTACGTGAATGGAGCTTACTACCTGGCATGGGCAGGAACCGAATACCCTGGAAGGGCTTGTACCAGGGATACAAGTGGTGTGGGCCACCGTGGCCAGGCTACACAAACCAAAGCACTTTCAGATTTGAATCATTTCAATCCACGGAGAAAAGAATGCCGGTCCGCATTTTGATCTGAATGTTTGCAGACAAATATTGTTCAACTTACAAGTACTTCCTTTCTGGCTAATCCGTGGAAGGCCCCCCTATGGCTTAGAGAAAACAGTAGCACCAGTTTCGTGCAGCGGTAACTAAGTGCATTGGCTTGGTGCTTCCACTGTTGCATACTTTTGCGTTCAAACTACTTCTTCTGATTTTGTGAGGCCTCAGCTGATCTTTTGACGCTGGCAGTCACCCGCCTGAGTGTTTTTGTACTTTGCACCACTGTAAGGTGCGGAACCAAATCACTTTTCCCAAGCAAGCAAGAGGATGTTTTCCACCTTAGCCGCCGCCACAAGTTCCTGGGTTACAGCTAGCTGCGAGGTCTGCAGTGGCGCCTTGTTTGCTGCTGGTGCCGGATTGCAAAGGCATCGTTGGCAGTTGCCGAGCCCTCGGCTGAGGCCAAAGGAGTGGTTGGCCAAAGCGCGTTTTGGCAAAGATTGGCTGGATGGTGCGGAGAGTGGTTTCCAATACATACATACATACATACATACATATATTTATATGATATGTATATACATAATTACAAAATACACATTTTCTCCCGAGGGAATTTGTTGAGTCGGCTTGTCACGAGCCACCTGTTCCCAACTTGTGGATTGACGATGATGTCACTCTAGGACCTAGGACTTGAATTCCACTAGAAGCTGTTCTGAAGGCATCATAAAACCCTGAGTGCCAATGGTCACTTACAGTAGCTGCACGGGCTCAGAACTATCGGATTCCAAGTGAAGTATTCAGGGCCATCGTTTTCGATGCTTCTATTGGTGCTCCCAACGACGGAACCACCCATCTCAGGCAGGCCACTTTGCTGCAAGAGCCCAGCCTCCATGATGCCCGAGTCACACGTATCACCACCTGGAAGAAGAGGCGTTCACCGCTCTCAGCGAAAGAACTTACTGCTGCTACTTGTTTTTTAAGGCTAGAGCTATATAATATATGTACCTTCACTATCAAAACTGTTCAATTTGTTTTTGCAATGAGGCACTTGAAGAGCGTTTCCACAGTGGTGGTATATATACTTTTTTGCCGCACCTTCCAGTTCGCGTAGGTTGCTATCTTGCGGTCACGATGGTCAAGTTTGTTTGGATGGACCTGAGCAGTTTCCTCAGCTTATGAGCAAATCAATCTCAACGGTGAATGTGGTTTCTTTTTGTCCATTGTCCACTTATGGAGCGCTCATGACCCACATCACTGTACATGGCCGCGTGTGCGCACAAGGCCCCGGAAAGCTAAGCTGGGCACTAGCCGGTTACTCTCCTTGGCCATTCTGGATGGAGATCATTTTGCCGTGGGCGCGGAGGACGCTCGAGCGGCGTTGAAGGATGTTACAGGTGCGCATGCTGTTTTCCAAGGTCTTCCAAGTATGTTGTAGGCAGAAGCCACCTTTGTTCATACGAATTGACATCATTTGATACAGCTTTGACTAGCATTGGTCTAGCAAAGTTTGGAAAGACGCGAACGTTGTACTCCTTGTCCAAGTTAGCTGCATCATCGCACATATAGCCGTGACATCTATGTCATCAGGAAGGGTGGTTTGGTGGAAGGAAAATGTTTCTCGTTTGGAATCGAGGACGGTACTATCCACTTGCTGGATTCGAACCTGCGACTGCTACACAGCACAAGGCCGTTCGGGGCGTGTCCCATCAACAGTTTGGCAGCCTTGCCTGGTGATGCTCGACCAATTTGGCTCAGGCATTTGCAGAGATTTCGAGCCGCTTGCGGGTAACAAATGATTTGCTTTTGAGTGTTGAGGGGTCAATGTGCGGATGTCGCAGGATTTTGCACGATATAATAGACAAATTGGGACCATCACAACACACTGAGATCATGCGTCGTTTCCTCACCCGTTTGAGATCATGTCCTAGCAGTACCCGCCCAGGACCGCGTCGCAGTGGCCTCGACGGCGGTGGAAAGGTTTCAAGTCGCCTCCTTGAAAAGTTTTTGTTGCGCTTGGTCTTGCGGTGTGGAGGTTATTGCAGGGTCACTGATGAGCATCGAAGATGCTGGATTTGTGCAGATGGGGGCCGTTGTGGGCTGCATGTGTGTGGCGTTGAATATGTGGGTGTGCCAGGTCTTGCTGCAGAATTGCCATGTGCACTTGCAGTTGGGTGTGGGGACAGCAGAAAAATGCTGCATGCAGAACGCACATGAAAGCACTGGCTCAAAGAGTCATGCTGTCTACTGAAGCCTGGACACTTTGCATGATTACAGACCTTTGATTTGCACTCGCTCATCCTACACCATTTAAGGTCGAGTAGAGGTGAAGAATTTGACCATATGTGCCAAATCCAATTTCCTGTGCACTATGTAAAGAACATGTGATTGCATAGGCAAGCTGAGTTGCACTGGGCGCGTTTCTACGAGGGAGGACGATGGCTTTGCGCTTCTTTCGGGCCCTCAGATGCCGCATGCACGGCCTTTCAACCTGAAGGACTTAAGGCCAACCATTCCAAAGTCCAGGGGTAAGAGAGAAGCTAACAAGTAGTACGAGATAGCTACTTGACATGGACGCAGGAAAGCTCACGCTTCTTCAAGGAAGCTTCCCCTGCCTGAGGGCGTAGGGGAGCTTCCTTGCAGCAGCCCTCGCACGATTCATGTGGTTCCCAGATTTTTAGGGAAATTTGGAAACCATAACATTTAGATGATACCAGGCTTTGGAGGGACTTCTGGCAAATTTATTTCATTTTGAATTGACCAATGACTATGACCATTGACATCCACAAGGGCTAGAATTGCCTTGTGCTGTTGGGTTGGGTAGGTGCTGCTAATGGGACACACTACTATGTATGGCTTGCTGATGTACTGATAGCTAGGATATGCAGACAGCGTGCAGTGCTGTGGAGGGAAATCAGCGGGCAATTGAAGTGGATCTTAGACCTGACTGACTTGGGGGATCGTGGAACTAAGACGGCTGTAGAGTAGACCTTCAGTTCTCATCGCACTGGAAACAAGTGAATTTCTCTATACGCATAGCCCTACTGATCGAACTGCGAAGTTACAAATGATTGCCCTATCCCAATATTTGTTCTAGACCCAACTTCTTATTCACTTGGCCGCCAGGCATTGCTTGCTGTTGGTCGGGTGTGCGGGAAGCGAAGTGGCCTGGAACCTGCGGGTACCTGCGAATGAAGCCTCAGGGCCATGGCGAGCCATGTTCAAGGAGCCATCATGGTGCGCTTGGGCCAAAGCTCTGTTAATCAAGTGGTGTAACATAGGTATATGCTCTGTCAACAAGCTCATTGGGCCATGGTGTTAATCAAGCTTTGTTAACAGTGTATCCAGCTGGAGATCATGCAGCAGGGGAGCAAATGTTGAAATGTCCTGCAGAGTGGAGATGCAAGATATCATTTATACATGTTTGTTTTGATTTGTGTATGTGCGGAAGCAAGCAACTAATGCAAGGTGCAACTCACCAAACTCCCAAACAAGACCGGGACTACCAGGCGGAGTTTCAAAGTTCCACGCTCCGAATTCGAAGTAGAGCAATGCAATTCCCTACTGCAGGAGCGCGATCCTAGAGTGGAGGGCACCAGCCTTAGAGCCAGTTTGTGATGTTGAGCAGGAGGTCTATCTCCCTTTTATGGCAAACTGCAGTGTGTTTGTTTAGGTCCAGACCTTTTGTCTCCTTTTTGTTGTGCCATTTGTGCGACCAACTTTGTCCGAGAAGGGCACTTTCCCGAAGCATTTGACTCACCAAGCGAGGCTGGACTCGAGACCCGCAAGATGAGCGAGTGGCAGCCTTGAGGGAGAAACTGCAGAGAAGCAACTGCATGCCCAACCTGCCAGTCTTTTCGCCTTTGGACCCAGATGCTCGATTCGGCATGGCGACATTCCAGCTTAGAGGTAACAGCAAGGGCTCGCATTTGATCGTCTCCAGCCGGGGCCAAGGATTACAACGTCAGTGCCGTGGCATCTTTCTTCCACGAGCATGGCTTTGTGGTATTGGAAAAGGCGTTGCCGGAGCTCATGTTGGAGAACTTGAAGAACGCCTCTGGATACATCATGAGGAGGATTTTTGAAGAAGATCCAGAAGGAAGCTTTGGTGGTGGAGCTGGGAAGTTGCCACATCGCTACAGCTTAGGACCGACGTTCAAAAATGTGTATTTTTTGGATTCTTTTGGAATGTGTGTGAGTGTGTCGTCATGTGGACATGTTACAATGTGTGGACCTAACAGGCAGATGAAAAAAGTGTTTGTATATATATATATATATATTGTAGAATTACTATTACTATCTATACATTTTTTTTATGTAGTTATCTAAGTTATCTATGTATCAAAAAAATGTATATATTACCTGAAACATGACCAATTGATTACTGGATACCAAACTTGACAAAGGAGATGCTTCAGGTACAAAGTCCAACTTTCACCTCGACGCGTATGCTGAGCTGGTGGATTTACCCACCACGACTCCATTGCTGCAGCACATTTTCGGTTCCATTGAATACCTTGCAGCAGGATCTGGTGGGGATGTAGTGCTGGCTGGGGCGATCGAGACTCGGATGCATTGTGTGGGCAGAAAACCCAGGGCAGAGGGAGGCCAAAATGTTGGCATATTTGAATATGCTTTGCTCAAAGGCTAATTGTGCAGGTGCTGGATCTGCAGACTTGTACCAAGATATGTGCCTGCCTGCAGGAATACCAGTCCTTGCACCCAGACGCCATCTGGGGCGTTCTTGAAGGGCCCGTGGCCGAGCAAGAGGTGCCACCAGCAGTCACGGCACCTTGGCATCAGGCAGCTCTACATTTACAAGACCACAAATATTCCAAAATCCTCCGAGCCGGTTGAAGATCATGGACTGTAATCACCTGGTGATAGGGTTGGACGTTCGTTTGCAGAGCGGCATTGGATGGTTCAGTTCTAATAAGTACTGACTACTGGTGTTGCTTTGGGCTTGCAAGAAGGGGATAGGAGATGACAAAACCACCGACGCTCCTACCTCCGCTGTGTTGGTGAAGGAATCCAGCTACAAGGCGTCCACATGCTTTCCTTCTTGCTTTCCGTGCCAAGCCCCTTTTTGGTCCACCCAATCAAGTTTTAGCTCCTAATAAACTTATTTGTCTTTCCAACTGCAACCCTCTCAACCACTGATTTGGGGACTGCCCATGTGCCAGATCAACTTTGTTCTGGAACCCCTGACCGCGCTGAACGGCGCCATGCGGGTGGTTCCCGGGTCACACCGCTGGCCAGAGCGGCCACCACACCTTCTGGAGGAGTGGAAGGTGTTTCACGAACATTGGAAGCTGTGACCAAGATGACCAGGACACGAAGATCCACGAAGACCTGTATTCTGCTTTTGGGCGCTAGAAAGTGGGACAGATAGATTGGGCAGTAGTCATTGGATCCTTGTTAGTTGCCAGATTCGTACAACAGCGGCAGGAGCCGGACTGGATGCAGTTCAACACACTATGTCCACTCCCTGCAGGCTGTGGATTCAAAGCTACTTCCTGTTCACGCCAGATGTCAAGTGCCGTTTCATGTTCGGAATTCGATGAGGAAAGCCCCTAAGCGCACCAGGGAAAAGAGGCTTTGAGGCCGCATAATCGACCCAATCGAGGCTTAGAGGCGTGCCTAGATCTAACCCCTGCCGGGCCAACGATGCCAATTTCCAGCGCAGGCGCTGCCATCTTCCGAGACAACCGATGCTGGCATGGCGGGACACCCAACTTGTCGGAGAACTTCCGGGCCTTGCCGAACGTGGAGTTCTTCCCACCCAAGGAGCGGCGCATGTCCAGTTCGCCAGCGGGACTCCAGTTTGGACCGCGCGCAAGGAGCAATAGACGAGTACAACACAGTAATAACATGTAATGACCACCCACCAGTTTCAAGACACACCCGAGCCATACCATCCTGTGGTCCTATGGTTGAAATCTGCTGAAAAGGCGCAACCTGGATATATATATATATATATATCTCTCTCTCTCTCTCCATTACGTACATGAAAGCCCAATCCATCTCCCAGTGCGTGACGGAAGGCCAATCCCTCTTTGGGCTGGTTGGATCGCTATACCATGCCATGGGACGTGTGGCAGCGGCTGTCGCCTTTGGGGCAATATGTCTCCAGACATGTGGTCGCACCGCCCGACGAGGAGATTCCTGGCCAAGACTTCTACTCCCCGGGTGCCATCCTGAACATCATGCCATTCCTCCGCTAAGACGAGGAGGCCAAGTGACCAACGAGCCCGAGGAGGCCGGTGTGTTCGGCGCCGAATCCGTGTCCGCTCTCCCAAGACCGAGGCCACAAGGGCCAGGCCGTGTCATGAAGCGGCCCAAATCACTCGAGCAAGTGCATTTCTTGTGTGACACAGAGGCACGCGATAACCTGCGATCCAAAAAGAGGATCAAAACTGTGTGTGTGTGTGTCCCACCCTGGACAAAGGGTCTTCCACCACCTTTTCTCC